GGACTGCGGCTGGCGTCTCCGAGGGCGGCTGCGAGGCGAGACCGCGAAGGTAACGCGGGGACGGCGGAGGCGTGGGGAGGGGACCGCTATTGCAGGTGACGGTAGGGCCGCCGCTGCCTCCCCGCAGCGGTTCCCGGAATCCACCTCCCGTTTCTTCTCGCTCTCCGGGGCTCCTCCCCCTCCTGCCTGCCCTCCCGGCCCTGGGTTTTCCGCTCGTGCGCCCTCGCCCCTCTCCCGGGGGCCGCCTCGGCGGTCCCCGCGGCCCCTCCAGGTCGTCTCAAGTCGCCCGCTGGCTGTCCCCACGCGGCCTCTCGCCGGCGGACGGCCTCGGCCTCTCCCGGCCTCCTCCATCCAGCGCCCCTGCTGGGGGCCCGCTTTTGTTGCGCCCAGCCGTGCGCCTCCTCCATCCGGCGCGTCCCCCCAGGCGTGCCCGGGACCACCAGGCACTTGCGCTGTGAAGTGGGAGTCGCTGTGAAGTCGGAGGGTCAAATCCCCCCAGATCCACCCCTCTGGCAAAAGTGGGTCACCCGCCCGGGCCCCGGGATCTCCAGCCCGCCCCCTTGGAGAGCCCCGACGTTAACTCTCCCTTGTTCCCGAGCGGGAGGGGGGTCGCAGGAAGGCAGCCGGGACTGGAGTGCCCTACATCTTTGCAGATCCACCACTTGGAAGCTGGCGGGGAAGAAGGGAGGGGTGAAGGGCCGTGGCCGCGGAGACAGAGGGATGGACCCTTCTCAGGATCAGGAGGGATGAGATGTTGGGAAGGTAATTGGCGCCTGTTGGGAGGTATTGGGCGCTTGCGTTTCAACTCTGAGCAAATCAGTCTGTTAAACGCAGTAGCGACCTGGTTTCATCCGCCCGGTCTGTCTCTCTCTCTCTCTCTCTCTCTCTCTCTCTCTCTCTCTCTCTCTCTCTGTCTCTCTCTCACTCACTCTCAATCTCTCTGTCTCTCTCTCTCTCTCTCTCTGTCTCTCTCTCACTCACTCTCAATCTCTCTGTCTCTCTCTCTCTCTCTCTCTCTCTCTCGTAGTATTTGTTTAATTTTCTTGTTTTATTTGACAAGAGGTTTTAGAAAATAACATGACATACTTGAGCTTCGGATCAGAGTGGGACAGTGGTGGGACGCTGTATTCCACCCCTCACCCCCGTCATGCTAACGGACCCAGGGGGCCAAGTCCCCGGCTTGCTAAATCCCCTATCCACAACCTCCCCCCAGTCCACCTGTGCAGGCTTGTGGGAGCTGGGAGAGTCAGTAGCAGAGGCTCTACCAATATCTTCTCTCTAACTGAAACAGTGGATAAACATTCCTAGCAATTTGGGCATAGTTAATAAGGCCTGATCTCTTTGTTTCAGGAAGTGGTTTGAGCTTTTAAGTTTATACGTTGTTTTTCAATTTTAGATAATCAAAAAATTTGCATGACCTATTTTTCTTAACTGTATTTCCTTGAAAGTTTCTTGTATATTTTTTTAAAAGTTGAAGAAAATCTGCCTGGGATTTGGTTCATGTAATTTGACAAATGGTGTGTGCGTCACACACACACACGCATATATATGCCATAGCCCAAGAGGTACTGTCTTAGAAGTGAAAAATTAAAAAATATATTCCATCACTCACACTTGCACACACAGAGCCACACTGAACTCTTTCTGTTGCATTTATAAACCTTCAAACTGTTGAAGAGTCAATGACATGCATAGTCTTTGATTATCAATCACCATATTTTACCAAAACTCAAGCCCAAACTAAATGCCATTGCTTATAAGGTGCACTTTTATTTTACGTAACCAAGTAAGAAAAAACACTGTCAATTACATTATGCCATCCATGCCACTGTACAAAGCACTGTGGTTTCAGAAGTGCTCAGATGTGAAAAGGAAAAATGCATTTTATAATTCATAAAATATTAGCAAGCTAGAGCAGAGCTCGACAGAGCTTTCCCTGAGGGTCCTTCTTTTGGAAGAATGGAACTGGGGGTGTGCAACTCAGGAAAGGGTACAGGACACGTATGGAGTTGGCAGAGGAGGTTGGCTGACTTAAGGTGGAGAGGGGTAGAGATAAGAGAAAATAAAAGAAGGAAAAAAAGAGGTACATAGGTTGGATTCTGAGCCACTGAAAATTTACTCTGGAGCCAGTAGGAAAACAAGTACACTCAGTTACTACTTAAGCCAGGATTTTACAAACTGATACATGAAGAGATATCGTGAAGCATCGTCATTGGTTTTTGTTTGTTCATTTGTTTTAAATTCTCAGGTCTTTAAAAATATATTTAAAATATAAGTGTTTCCCAACTATCAGAAGCTAAGTTAGCAAGTCTTCAAAAATCTTAACGATTCTCCCTAATAAATAGGAAAGGAGCAAACCAAGTCTTCCCACCCTTAGCTTTGTCTTTTACTGGCAAAGATGCAGTGGGCCCTTCATGCTGGGCAGAGGCGAGTGAGCCGGCGAAGTCAGCCAGGCACCAACCCTTTGGGCTGAGACCCTGGCCTGACTGCAGAACTGGAATCAGGTGAAGTTGCAAAAAGGAAGTCAAGGTTTCACACTGATGTTTCCATAGAAACCATCGAAGTACCAGCAAAGCAAACAAAAAAAGGTGTGGGGCAAAAAAGGAAGAAAACACAGCTTGCTAGAAATGTTATTAAAAAGAAAGTATTATTCTTGGGACAGAGTAAATTCCTTATCATTGCCTTATACCCTACAACAACTAGATAAAAATAATAGATTCAGTAAAATAAATTTGGCCAGATGTGGTGGCTCATGCCTGTAACACTTTGGAAGGCTGAGGTGGGAGGAATGCTTGAAGCCAGAAGTTTGAAACTAACCTGGGCAACATAGTAAGACCTCATCTCTACATAAAGTCATAAAATTAGCCAGAAATGTTGGCACACACCTTTAATCCTAGCTACTCGGGAAACTGAGGTGGAAGTTTTGCCTGAGCCCAGGAGGTTGAGGCTGTGGTGAACTGTGATCCTGCTACGGCACTCCAACCTGAGCAATAGAGTGAGACCCTGACTCTAAAAAAATAAATAAATAAAAATGCCAGGTGCAGTGGCTCACGCCTGTAATTCCAGCACTTTGGGAGGTGGAGGTGAGAGAATTGCCTGAGCTCAGGGGGTTTGAGACCAGCCTGAGCAACATGATGAGGGGCCTTGTCTCTACAATAAATTATAAAATTAGCTGGGCATGGTAGCTCATGCCTGTAGTTACAGTTACTTGGAAGGCTGAGGTAGAAGGATTGCCTGAGCCCAGCAGCTCTAGGCTGTGGTGGCCGTGAGTGTGCCACTGCACTCCAGCCTGGGCAACAGAGAGATACTCTGGCTCAAAAATGAAATGAAATGAAATGAAATAAATAGAAACTCAAAGGTGAGAAAATTGTAACATGGAGATGAAAAGGGGGGTCACAGACCTAAGGGAATACACTGAAGACTATGAAAACACAATGACAGAATGAACTAAGTTAGGGAAAAGCACAGTGGGCCCTTCTGATAAATACTGCTGAAAATGAAGGTACTTTTAACAGAAAAAAAGGTTTGATTTAAGCCTAGTGAGTGCAGATGAAGAGACAAATATTAAGTCAAGTGAAAGAATCTGTTAGGGAAGACAGACAAAACACAATCTAACATTGAAATAACTGGAATCCCTGATGTAGGGAAAAGAACAAATGGGACAGAAAATACAAATAAAAGTAAGACAAAAGAAATCTTACTGAAATGAATACAAAATGGTCTGTGGGCCAAAAGAGCATGCCATATTCCAGAAAATATCATATCGGAATGCTCAAGCACTAAGATATCCTGAACCATTTAAATTCAAAGAAAAAAAGAATTATTTAGAAGTCCAAGAAGAAAAAATAAGGGAGGGGAGAAACAAAATCAAGCTGGCCTCAGACTTCAGTGTAGTGCTGAATACTAGAAGATAATAACTGTGAGGGAAAATTTCAAAGAGAAAGAAACTTTTCCTAAGACAGTGTTTTATACAGCAGAACAAAGGAAATTCTGTACCCATTAGCCCTCTTTTTTTGGGGGGAGGGGGTGTTGGGTAATAAAACTCCAGAAATAGCAAATTAAGAGATAGATCAAGCCAGGCACAGTGGCCCACGCCTGTAATTCCAGCACTTTGGGAGGCAGAGGTGAGAGGATTGCCTGAGTCCAGGAGTTCGAGACAAGTCTGGGCAACTTGACAATACCTTGTCTCTACAATAAATTTTTTTAAAAATTAGTTGGGTTGGTGCGCATGTCTGTGGTTCCAGCTACTTGGCTGGAGCCACCTGAACCCAGCAGATGGAGGCTGCATGACTGTGAGTGTGCCACTGCACTCCAGCCTGGGTGACAGAGTAAGACTCTGACTCAAAAAAAAAAAAAGAGAGAGATCAAAATAAAGACCTCAAGGGTGGGGAAATGGTTAAAAAAAAAAAACTGTTGTCAAGTATTTATTCGATTTAAATGTAGATTTAATGCAAAACAGCTATAGAAATTGTGCTTGAATAGAATGTGATTGTTATAAATCTAGACCAAAAATATTGCAAAAAAAGAAGTGGGAGAACATGGAAGGAAGTATGAGACTGCTGTTTTCTTCTTTCAAAGCACAGATCAATGAATATGGTTTAAAATTTAAAAGTACTATGAATATATAACACTCCAAATTCTCTAATGTTATTCATAATTTTTTTAAGCCTTAGAGGGATATTGTAGAAAGTTATACTTTCTTTTGGACAAAAAAAAAATTTTAATTTTAACTCCTGCTTTTAGTTTTTTCCTAAGTAAAATTAAATTTAGACAGAAACTCTGTATGTGTGTGTCTGTGTGTTTATTTACGCATTGAAAGTTCTGTGGGTGATGTTCCCCTGACAATAATGATGGGGATATCTAGATACTGGGATTTGTGCTTTTATGCATTATTTTAATTTCTTTCAATGAGCATGGAGAAGAATTTTTATGGAAATGAGAAAGATGTTTAAAAATAAACTGGAAATAAATATGCCAAGATGTTAACAATAGTTGGTGCTGGATGGCAGAAATAAGGATGAGTATTACTTTCTTCTTTGTACTTTTGAATTCTTTTAATTTCCAGAAAAGATAGGTAATTGTATTTGTATATTTCTGAATTCAGTTCATTCATTATTCATTGACCATCTGGCAATATGCATCAGGCTGTGTCAGATAGGAGAAAAGACACAGGCTGGGCATGGTGGCTCACACCTGTAATCACAGCACCTTGGGAGGCCAGGCAGGAGGATTGCTTGAGCCCAGAAGTTCAAGACCAGCCTGGACAACATGGTGAGACTTCGTTCTATCAATCCAAAAAAGTCAAAAAATTAGCCAGGCGTGCTGGCCCAAGCCAGTAGTCCCAGCTACCCGAGAGGCTGAAGCAGAAGCATCACTTGAACCCAGCATGCGAGGCTGTGGTGAACTGTGATCTTGCTACTACATTCCAGTCTGGGCAACAGATTGAGACCCCAACTCAAAGGGAAAAAAAAGACAAAGTTGTATGCCCTCTAGCAGGGGACTGTGAGGCAGCAAGTTCCTGGAGGGCTGTTTGTAATTTAGGAGTTGGAATTCAGAAAAGAATCGCTTCACCCAACCCATCCATTTGAGCTGGGCCTTGAAAATTAGTTGTGTTTGTTAGGGTATAAGTGGCAAGGGGGTCATCTGTCACCTGGAACTCGGCACTTGTGTGGGACAGTCTGGAATGGCTGCCAGCCTGCAATTGGGGACTTGGGTCAAAGGTGACTTACAGGTTCATCTCTGCCAGACTCGGCCTCCAGCTAAATGCCCCCTGGCTCCAGTCCACATGGCAGGGCTAGAGTGTCAACCCTGACCTTCCCAGCACCTGTGCCAGAAGGGCTTCAGTGGAACACAGGGACTCTCTGCCAGTGTGACCTAGTGAGTACCCCATGCAAAGGGCAGCAGCAGTTATGGGGCACAGAGAATCCAGGCAGGGTCTGGGAGCAGCTGCTGAGAGCTGGAGAAAGGAAGCCATTCAGGGCTTGAGGCTCTGAGCACCTCATGTGCTCCACTGTCCCGGACTCCATGAACAAAACACACGCTGAAAGAGAAAGTGGATTCAGATTTCAAGACAGCCACACAAAGCCAAGTGTGGAGCCCTTCAGCCTGCAGGGCCCTGAGGGACAGAGGCCGGCTCTGGCCACAGAGAAAAGACTAATAAGAGCCATGCTTTAGGAAGACTGATCTATTCATAGCCAGGGAGAGTTTTTAGGCACCCCCATTAACAGTTCAGGAAGGATGCCGAGATGAGAAATTAGATTTTCCAAGCAAGTAAGAATCTAGTTATCAGACATCTGGTTCAAAGTGGAGTACGGGTCACCAGGAGCAAAACAAGGGAAAGAGCCATCCCCTGACCGGGAGGGGAGAGCGGGACTTTTTAGTGTGTGTGTGTGTGTGTGTGTGTATTCTCAGCTGCTGAAGGGATTGTGTGTGTGTTCCTGCAGATACGATAACAAAGGTGAAGGTGTGCTATCATCAGAAAAAAATAGGGACTAGAGGCCTCAGATCAGGTGTTTGAGAATAAGGGAGTTGCCTTCCTGCCATCAAGGTGTGCTTGGCATCTACAGTGTTCACAGTGCAACTCCTCTGCCATGAAGGGATTATGGGAGATGACATCACATGTCAAGGTATCTTAGCAGATGTTTCTAGATGGGTATAGTATTCTGGTATAAGTTGTAGGCAGAGGTGCCTGGATATCTCATGGATGTTGGGGTCTGCAGCAGGGATTTAAATTTGACTTAGCATCTCTTAGATTTCTCTAGAATACTCTACATGAGACCAGTTGCCATGACTTGGAAAATAAAGTTGTTTTTTTTAGCTTGAACTCAGTCTGCTGTTTCGTGGTCTTTTTGCCTTTTGATGATATTGTCCCACTGTTTGGGAGGACAGAAGAATACCCAGATTCTATAGGATTTAGTCACTTAGTTGACAACATATCTGAGAGAGAGAAGGAAGAAGACTGAACAGGTCTCCCCAAAATTCTCAAAGAATTCCTTCTTTACCTTGGAGTGGTGAAGACTTTCTAACTATGACTCAACATCCAGATGCTAAGGAAGAAATTACCTTACCTAAAAACTTAAAAGTCAGAAACTTCTGAGTGGTTAATTTAAAAAAGAACACCACAAGTCAATCAAAGGGCACGTCACAAACTAGGGAAAAAGGGAAAAAATATGCCTCACGTCACAGTTTCCTCATTAAAACTTCCTGCAAAACCGGCCGGGCCCAGTGGCTCATACCTATGGGATGCTGAGGTAAGAGGATTGCCTAAGCCCGCAGGTTCAAGAACAGCCCAGGCAACTTGTTGAGACTTCATCTCTACAATAAATCAAAAAATTAGCCAGGCATGGTGGCTCATGCCTGTAGTTCCAGTTACTTGGAAGGCTGAGGCAGAGGGATTGCCTGAGCCCAGCTGGTCGAGGTTGCGGTGGCACAGAAGTATACCACTGCCCCCCAGCCTGGGTTACAAAGTGA